ATACACTTCGGTCCCAGTATAGCTTATAGATGTCGTTCTCGATGACACTTTGTGGATGGTACTTGTAGCAAGGTGTATCAAATTTACCAGGAATTCCACATTTTCTTGCAAGTTTGGCGTGGATGATTCGTGCCACCATATCGTGCCTCTGTTTATAATCTGTTGGGGCCAGCATACTGCAACCCGTAATGATGTGCTGGATCGTTTCTTGGCCAACACCACAAGCCCTGCAGATATCAGAAGGCACTTCGGGGTCTTTAATAATGTGTTTGAGGTAATTTCTTGTCGCAATTACCTGATCCTGGATTGCGATAAAAATCCTTCAGTCTCGGGATACAGATACCCTATTTTAAGCCACTTGTACGATAAGCAGACATCGACATTTGATTTGGCTATTTCTGCAGGATATCTACTATGAAGTGCTTTTTGTTTCCATTGTTCTAACTCCTGGGCTTGTATTGATCGCTCGAGTGATACATTTTGCTGTTTGAGGTTGAGGGGTGTATAGTTCTCGTCTACTTGCTGTATTACTCTGTGTAGCTGAGATGACAAAGCTTTCTCATTGAAATACTCTCTCATGTTCGTCAGCAGTTTTGCATGAAGATTACCATTCTTTAAGATTCCCCTACCTCCTTGTTTCCTTGGCAGTGTTATTCTATGAATAGAACTTTTCGGATTTGAAACGAGTCATTTGGATCCTAAAAGTCCTCTCCAGTGAGTCGAAATCGGTTCTGGTCCATTTTATAATGCCTAATGAGTAGGTAATCACAGGTATGGCATATGCATTAATTGCTATTGTAAGGTTACGAGAGTTGAGGGAGGTCTTGAGTATGGTATTCAATCTATTGGTAAACTCTGTTTTTAACTCCTCTTTTATTTGGCTGTGTATGATCATTTTATTTTGTTGAATCCCCAGATACTTATAAAACTCATCCATTCCCAATGCTGTGATTATCTCTCTTGATGCAGTTTCGTGCTCTGTGCTGTCTGTGAGCTTTCCCCTCTGAATACTTTGTATTTTACATTTTCTATGCCAAACTGCATGCCTATATCACTGTAGAATCTTTTAGTGATATATATTAGCTTCTTCAGTCCCTGTAATGTGCCAGAGTATAGGTTAATGCTATCCATGTATGCTAGATGGG